CTCTGTGGTGGCACCCAACCTATGGAATTCACTCCCCAAAGAGGTCCTCCTGGCACCGTCGTTACTGGTTTTTCGGCGCCAGGTAAAGACCTTTTTATTTAAACATCATTTTAATTGTTAAAACATATGATATGGCCAGGGCAACTTCTTCTTCCTTCTCTTTTCTCCTCCTATATTATTTATGTACTTATTTTATACTGATAATTTTAATTTTATATTATTATGTTTGTAACTCAGTGTAGTTTTTGTATTTTTGTATTTAATGGTAATTTATTATGTTCTATTGTATTTCAATGTATTTTATTGTGTTGTAAGCCGCCCCGAGGCAAGGGGCGGCATAGAAATGTAATAATAATGATAATAACAACAACAACAACAACACATTTCATGATCTCGGCAATCCAACTTTGTTCATCTTCTCTTTAGATTAATGCAACACAAGTTTATTATAAAATACCATTCAAGAACCATACTGGCCTGGCCCAGGGTCCATTTAGTTGAACCTTCTGTTTGCACAGCTGCCAAAAAACTGCCCATGAGTGCACAAGACGTCCCCTGCAGCTAGTATACATAGGCATACCACCCCTGGCACTGGAGAGTAGCACAGAGCCATCCGGACTAATAATCACTGACAGTCTCCTGTATGAATTCGTCCAATCCCCCTTTCAAGCCCTCCAAATTGGAGGCCATCATGTGGAAGTGAATTCTGTTGTCTATGTCCTGTATGAAGGACTTCCGCCCCCTGTTCGGAGTATCTTGCTAGTAAGCTTGACGGGATGACTGCATTGGGTTCTAGTAGTACGAGGGGGAAAAATACCTACTGACTCTCTCCATCCCATGGACAATTCTGCACGCATCTATCATACGCTTGAGCTACACACTTCTTTCCTTTCTTGAACTAAACAAATCCAGCTGCTGTATCTTTTCCTCATAAGGAAGTTGCTGCAGTCCTGCCATAATTTAGTTGCCCTTTTCCCAACCCCACAATGTCATTTTAGGTGCTGGGATGAGAACTGTATGCAGTATTCTAAGTGCGGGTGCAGCACCAGTTCATGCAAGGGCAGCATGATCCTGGCTGTTCTTATTTTCAGTTTTGTTCCTAATTATATCTAACATGGAGTCTGCCTTTTTTGCAGCAGCTGCACACTGGGCCAAGGTTTTCACTGAGCTGTCCTCCATCATCCCAGATCTTTCTTGGTTTGTCACTCAGACCCCCCCCCCCCAGCTTATACTATGGGATTTTGGCCCTCAATGTGCATTATTTTACACTTGTTTACATGAACTGCATTCCACATTTTGATGCCCCATCTCCTAGTACAGAGAGATTCTTTATGAGCTCCTTACAACCCCCTCATTTTAGCCATCCTAAATAATTTGGCAACACACTTGTATTTCCAGGTCATTTATGAATAATCTGAAAAGCACTGATCCCAACCGCGATCCCCATGAGACTGCAGGGTTAACATTCTTCCACTGGAAGAATTTGCCATTTGTTCTTCCTCTCTGCTTCTGTTCTTTAACCACTTACTGATCCATAAGAGAAGCTCAGCTCTTATTCCACAACTGTTAAATTTGCTAAGGAGTCTTTGGTGTGGAGCACTGTCAAATATTTTCGGAAGTCTGAGTATACAATGACTTACTGGGTTTGCCACTCCTGTCTACATGTTTACTGATATTCTCAAAGAATTTTGAAAGGTAGGCGAAAGAAGACTTCCCTCTGCAGACACTAAGTCGATTCTTTTTCATGTGAGACTTCCTTTCAAATCTGATCTCTACAGAAAACCACTCTACTTATTTGTACTTCATACAAGGCATGATGAATTAGCATGAAAAATCAACAACCTAATTACAAACTCGTATTTCTTATGAGTTTCTCCCACTTAAATGTGTTTAGGGTTGCAGCCTAAGAGAGAGAGATGGAAAATCCTTATATGGATATGCTTAAATGCCACTTTACATTCTCCGTGCATAAACTTTGGGTTCACAGAAGATGGCAAGTTACATTCCTTGCCCAAAACAGAATCACTTCAAGAAATAGTCTCTCAGCTTTCAATGAGCTGGTGCTACTAGAAATTCCTCCCTTTAAATGGCAAATCAAAATTTACGCACATGTGGAATCCCAACATGAAGAAAGATGCCCTGCACATGGCTGCAGAAGTAGCCTCAGAGGCAGGAAGGCAAGGAAGTTATGGCCATAGAAAACCTCTTAAAGTGAATACTTACCATCCTACGAATTGCTCCACAAATTGCGTATGTTTTGAACTGGCCATTGACTCTGCCTGTTACTTTATCAACCTGAAATTGGAATTAGAATGACATACCAGAATTTAACTATTCAGCATTCATACTTAACCTGTGAAACACGCATATAAGTTATTCTTATGATTTGGGTTCTACAAATTCAGCCAACAAACAACAAAATTACAGTAAGCATTACATTCTAAATGCATTTAGAATGCCTAACAGAAAAATGCATTTGTCCAGCAAACTGACTGGAACAGTGAAATCTGAAGCATATGTCAGCCATGTTTTCTGTACAGAAAAGAATTTACTTTTGCTTCCTCTGGCCCACAGACCATCCAAAAGTAGGAATAACAGAACAGCCTCTTATCCTAACCTGAAAGGGTTCCCAATCTGTTTCTCCTGTGGGTGCTATGACACCTACAGGCACTACACTGAGTAGTAAAACCAAACAGAGAAGCATGCAGTAAGAGTAAAGGCAGCCCTGTATTAGTTACCAAGAGCCTAGCTACCCATCCCTCACTCTGATCACAAGCATCTTGTTCCCCACTATGTGCTTCCTTTGTGGACTGTGGATGAACTGGGTCCCAACAGCATTTGCTGCTGCAGGCAAGCTGGAAAGAGTTCAGAGGAGGGCAACAAGGATGATCCGGGGACTGGAAGCAAAGCCCTAGGAGAGATTGAAAGAACTGGGCATGTTTAGCCTTGAGAAGACTAAGGGGAGATAGGACAGCACTCTTCAAGGACTAGAAAGGTTGTCACAAAGAGGAAGGCCAGGATCTCTTTTTGATCACTGCTGAGTGCAGGACACAAAAGAACAGGAAGCCAGGTTCCGGATGAACAGTAGGAAGAACTTCCTCACTGTTAGAGCAGTAGAACAATGAAACCAATTACCTGGGGAGGTGGTGGACTCTCCCACACCAAAGGCATTCAAGATGCAACTGGACCACCATCTGAGAGGGATGGCTTAACTTGGAGTCCTGCACTGAGCAAAGGGTTGGACCTGATGGCCTTCCAACACTGCTATTCTGTGATAATAATCAAATCCAGTGCTTGACTTTCCCCTGGATCAGAAAGTTTAGCATAGGAATGATTCCTCATCCACACATCCTCCAGACTGAGGAGCCCAAGAGTAGCAGCATTAGGCTACTGTTACATTATTGCTGTAAAGCAAGAGGGGGGCACATGTGGCAAAACATGGGAGGAAAAGGGGCATCTGTAGAGGCTATGGAGCCTCAAATCAGCTTGCAATGAAGCTCTTGGGAGTAACTGACAATGCCTTTTTTTTTATTAAAGATGCTTCTTTTGGAGTCAGGGGAGGGGCATGCTGCTTGTGGCAAAGGTGAAATTATCCCTGTTGCAGTTGTCCTTCTGCGCCCTTAAAGGCCAAACAACACAAAAATAAAAAACCATACTGGACCGTATGTGAGCACACTGCAAGCAGCATGGCTCCAGCCATTTTCCCATAGCTTGGTTTCACTGTAGTAACCATGAAGGGGTTTCTCCCCTTCTGAAGCAAGGAAGAGTGCATCCAGATTACTGGGATAAGCAACTTGAAGTCCTCCAGATGCCTTGTGGTATAAGTCCCATCAACCTGAGGCAGCATGAGTACTGATCAGGCATTATGGGAACTGTAGTTCTACTGTTTGTGAATGCTGAATCTGCCATTTAAGAGTGACTGCTTCTCAGCAAGCAGCAAATTACAAACCTCATTAACTGAAATTCAGTACCTAGAAATAACACACACCTTGAAATATTTATGCATTTCAATTCATATATTCTAATTATGCTTATTTTACTTACCTCAGAGATATTTATTTGTATAGAAGCATGGTCTTTAGCACCAATTATCCGGTTGCTCGCAGAGCTGAGGGGAAGGGGAAAAAAAGAAGCTAAATAAATTGAAGTATAGGATTAAAATAAACTCTCTTGGTCTCTTCCACAGATAGTGCTAACATCTTGTATCATGTGCTACCAGCTCCATGCAAATTCTATTCATTTACTGCTTCTGCATACCAGTCACAGCTATCAAAGTTCTCAGAACGGTTTTATGGCATGCCTCTGCAACTCCCTGATACCATGCACTGTTGACAAAAACTCTAGTCACAATAAAAACATGAAAACACATTCTTGGGCATAGCTCTGGCCAGAATGCATCACTTTTCTATATATGACATCTCACTTTTAGCAATTTAACCTTTCTACAGTTGACAGGTTGCACCAAATATGTACAGCTCATGAACTGGTATGGAAGTTCTTCCACAGCACACTCAAATGGCTTATACAAGTTAGTAACAAATGGCAGAAGTCTCAGTATGGACAAGACAGTTCTGCTTTATGTTAAAGAAATCAAACTGTTTTGTAGATATTTGACTGAGGTGCAAATTTGGGAAGTAACCTTATTAAAATACTCTGCAGGACTGGTACTTGACAGATTCCTAAATTCTGATATTTCTCCCAGCGACACATACAAATCGGCAGGTTGTTTTAAAGAAGCAAGATTAACCAATAAACTCAATTTATATTGGGTTAATATAACTCATTTTTATTTTCTGAACATACAAAACAAGTTCATTTTGTGGCATCAGTATTCCTATGAGGTTCTACTATAAATGTTTCTTCACGATCATCACTAATACTTACAAAAAATCAAATGTGCAACAGAAGCTCACATAATGCTTTCTACTGACAGCAGGGGAGAGTATAACTTGAAGTTGCACAAAGACATTGGCCAAAGGGAGATAGCCCAACCCAGCATAAAACAGGTCATTTATGGGGAGACAAGAAGATTGTAAATGGAATAACAAAAACAAAAACGACAACAAAGCCACAGAATTGATCACAGATCTGATGATCATGAAATCACCCAAATTGATTTCTGTAATACTTACCACTTACGAGGCACATAGAGATCCACAAATTCCCCAGCGTCGTTCTGCATCCTGTGTTTCCAGATCACTCACCACAAGTGACGTGCAACCAAAATACCCTGAAAAAGCATGTTAAAGGATCAGTATCTGCCAGATGCTGAAGTGACAGAAAAGTACAGACATCTGCCCACAGCACTTGTTGAACTACCCTCCTCAAAGAAATATTCTACCACCTTCCATCACTGCTATGGTCATGCTTAAAACTAAAAAATGGTATTTATTTAAGCAGAATGATTTTCAAAAGCTGTTTCTGTTTAAACACTTAGTTACAGGCAAGAGTACTTCACAAGAGTGAGATAACATAAAAACCATCTTTTAACTTCTCACTGTTCCTACGGCTAATTTGTATGACAGACCTGAGGCTGTAATTACTAATGGACACTTCCCACTATTTTCTCAGCAGTATTTACCAATAATGTATATGGAATTAATACAAATAATTGACCAGAATGCTAGCTCTTGCAATTAGATTCATGGAGCAACTTTCAGACAAAAATTAATAGGGAGCTTTATGTTAAAATGTACAAGCTAAACTTGTATCCAACCTTGTGTCTCTAAGAACCGACCCAAGAAATATTTGCTAGCAGGGAAGAGGGCAGCATGGGAAACACAGCTAGAACAATTTATGGTAAGATATAGTTCAAGTAATGTTCAGAATGTTGCTACTGTTCACTGGTGGGATACAAATATATCTGTGGCTGGTCACATCCTTCACACAAAGCAGCTTAGATCTTTTGAAACTAGAAGTGATGCCAAATGTAATTTTTAGCATTTTAAATTCTCAGGCAAGCATTCCAGTTTCAGAAAAAGGAATCCTGCTAAAATCAGTTACATGTAATTCTATGTATCCTAACACAGTTCAGAAGCAAGTGGTAGCAAATGCATTTTACCTTATCATAATTTTGTATTAAAAGAAAAAAGGGGAGGTTATCCTTGAAATAATTATACATGGGATGGAGAAAGTAGATAGGGAAATTATACATTGGGATGGAGAAAGTAGGTAGGGAAATACTTTTCTCCATCTTGGCTAATGCTAAAACCGGTGGGAAATTAAGGATAAAGGACTTCTTCATAGTTAAGCTATGGAATGTGCAACCTTAAGATAAAAGTGCAGGCTACCAATTTACAGGGCTTTAAAAAGCGATTGCCCAAATCAACGGAGAAGGCTACAAACCGCTACTACTCGTGTTGGCTCTGCGCTAATTCCAACATCAGAGGCAGCATGCCTAGGTGCACCAGTTGTAGGGGAGCCTGGCAGGAGGGTGCTGTTGCAGGTCAACCACTGAGTAACCAGAATGGTGAACCAGACAAGACGCTCGGCGTGATCCGGTCGCACTCATACTCTGCTCCTATGAAACACCTCCAACTAGGATTGGCACTAGTTGCAGCCTTAGGCAGCACTGCAGTTTCTTTTGAAATGCTCACTAGGATCTGTGTTCTGGACAGGCAGAGAAACCGCAAACTCAGAGCAAAGGAAGGGGCTCCAGCGCACATGCCTCACCACACTGTCGAAAGGGATCCCTCAAATTCTGCCTTCCTTCCCACCCCGCGAGAGAAAGGGAGGCCCAGCACGAGGGAAAAAACGGCTCTGTCCCGTGTAAAAAGAGGCCGCTGCACCGCGCGGAAGGCTCACTTAACCACCAATGCCATTTCCCGACTTCCAAGCAGCTCCCCGGGCATTAAACGTGGTAGAAATAGGACCCGCCACCAGGACCAGGCCTCGCCTCACCTCCACACACGCCGAGAGCTCGGGCCGGAAAGGAAGTGGGATGTCACTCGGGAGCGACAAGCTAGCCCGAGGCGGAAGGAGAGGAGAAAACCAAAGAGCAGAGCGAAGCGTGAGCAATACGTAACGCGAGCGACATGAAGCCGGCGGAGTGACGTCACCCGGAACAGTTCGGGGGCGGGGCCAGGCAAGGGGTGGTGCGCGGGCTCGAAGGGGGCGTGGGAGGAGGAAAGAGGGCCGTTAGCCACGCCCATTTCCGGACCAGGCTTCTTTGTGTACAAAAGGCGGGAATGTGGAGGAGCTGCGCGCGCATCGGCGTGGGGGAAGGGCGGGATAACCTGAGGGAGTTGAGGAAATACGAAGCGCGGAAGGTTTAAAGAAAACAAGCAAGCAATTTTATCTTAATTTTCTTTTTGAAAAAAACCTATAACGAGGCTATAAAAACCCATGGATAGCCTACTCATTATTCTTATGCTAGCATCTTCATGCAGGACACGCAGCACAATGTAAATCTGGATTAAGGTTTCTCAGTTTGGGGCTGTCTGGATAGATTACAGTTCCTATCATTTACAGCCAGCACGGCCTAGTGATTGGAGTCGTAGGTCAACATGTCCAGGGGTAAGCAGGATGGCCCTGTTGTCCAAATGGATCGGTTCATGTCCTGGTGTGCGTATGACCCAAATCAGTACCACAGGCACCAATGTGTCACGAGGTGCCTTTTTTGGTGCCCAGGCAAGACATCCCACCATTTGCAATCTTTAAAATGTGCTACCTGGCAGCTAGGGTTCCCTCAGGTGAATCTAGCTTCCACCATTTTACCCATGAAAGCCTCTGGATAGGTCACTTTGATGTACAAATTAATAGGTATAACTTAACATTGGTAATCACTGACAATAGCTGAGCCAGAGAAAAACCCTCTTTTTATAAATCAGCACGTGTGCACCTTTGAAATGTAGCTGAACTTAACCTGGCACCATTCCAGAGAGGGCCAGTTGACTTTTGACAGATGACAGCTGCACAAAAAGGGCAATTCACACCAACCAGCCCCATCCTCCTCCCCAACATCTTTCTGCTTTGGTATGCAGGCAGGAAAGATCATGCCATTGTGACTTTTTACTTCTGTAACCTATTGGAAAGAGTTAACTGTGTTAAATGTAACCCTTTAATGATCAATATGTAAAAGGGAGAACTGATGGTGCACCATCAGGTGCACTATTTGGAACAGTTAGCAGCCAGTTATTCTCCAGAATGCATCTTTTAAAAGAAAACCTTCCTGTTTGTGTTTTGCGTATATGCACACCAGGGCATGGACCATTTGGTCAACAACTTGTCCTTTGTGAGTTACAATGCCCAGCCCTGGCATCCGTTTTATAGTTGTGCTCAGGAACTTTCTCAAATTCCTGAATGTGCCAATAGGCTTGAAAGCTTGCCTGTTCCTGCTCTAGCCCATCAAGGGTGCAATCCTGTATGTTTTGATTGTGCATCTTGATTATGCCTGCTTTGCTTTCATGTATCATAGAACAAGTGGCATAGGAAAGGCGGGCAACTGATTCTTTATGCCTATCTCTGGAGCAGTCATGAACACCCATTTCTGGATCTTTCCTTTGTTCATGCAACCGATGGGAGGAATCAACTTGCTCTTAGCTCCAATTATGAGGGCAGGAATGTACAGCAGATTAGTAATTTTTACACGTGTGGTACAGTGACTTTTCCTTCTAGGTCATCCAAATTACATTTGAAGGCACTTGTTTCAAAACAGTTATTGTGAATTATATTTGGTGTGCAAATTAATTTACTGTCTATATCACATTGCCAATTAATAAACATAGCCTTTAGTGACATTTTTGCCTTGTGAAATAGTCTGAAGAATCAGTGGAATGCTGTCCAAGTTATATGTAATATGGCACCTACTAGATAAAAAGTCATAGTAAAGGCATGTTAATGGGTACAGCAGCTTCTGGTAAAGAATGCACTCCATCAGCACAGCAGTTCAGAGCAAACATTCATGTACTCTAAACCAGATATGCCAGCATAAGTGTTTATTCTAGTTTCAGCAGTGTTAAATACTAGTCCTAAACGTATTTACCATGTACTGGTGAGTTTAAAATACTCAGAATCTAAGTTCTGCATACTTAACACAGATTTCACAGTAGGGTTAAACACTACACTTTGGGCACACATGTTAAAGCAGGATGTGTGTGTACATGTGCATGATTTCTGCTATAATTTTTTCAGTGTTTTGGCTGCAAAATTAAATGTATGAAAAGGTGAAAAATGAATGTCATCTATTGAATAGCTCCATCCAAATTTAGCTCCTTAGAAGATTGATCATCCCTCTTCTACCTCCTGTCATACCAAAATATCTATCAGGAATTTTTCTAAAATCTAGACATAGTGATTGATGAGGGAAGGGAAAAGAAAAACAACATGCCAAAGCGTTTTGAAATGAGTATTTATGACACAAACCTGAAATATCTTCAGATGTGCTTGGTTATAAAATAGGTATCAAAACATTCAATTACACAGCACCTTATTAACAAATTCATTCATTTCATTGGAAGAACATAAGTTGACAGTATACAAACTTAAATTGAAGACAACACAAATATACTATTAACATGAAATATACAAACTCCAAATCAGAGTGATTTCTTGGGCAGAAAATAGACAAGCACCATTATTTACATAAGCTTACATAATTTAAACCTCAAAGATTATTGTATCTCTAAAGAAAGCATTCTGGGATTTTATGCTGGATCTAGGTTTAGTTGTAATAATAGATTTTACCACACAGTGGCAGCTTCTGAACAGACAAGGAATACAATGAGGCTAGTGGACTGAGAAAAGAAACCAAAAATTAAGAAAAAGCAAACGAGATGCCACACCCTCTATATTTCACTATAGTATTCAACAGTTGCCATATCTGTACAGGTTATGTCACAGGAGTAAGTATTCAACATACAAGTCAATTTGTAGAGTTAAAGATGTCAGTGAAACTCGGTTCCTTATCTTCAGATTTCCTGAAGCAATTGGTATCTTGGGTTAGGATTATACTGGATGCTGAATGTCCTTGATAATAATAAAAATATATCCTGCATATCATAAAGGACCATAAGAAGCCCTCTTTTGTCGATACATGGGCCACCCCAAATCTGCAGGTACAGTTGTTCAATGATAAGGGGGGAGAAGAGTCAGAATTCTTGCTTGAAGTTTAGATTCTTCATCCTAAAAATGCCTTTTTATCCCTACCATGAAGAACTGAAAATCCATCTAACTGAAGAGGGTACACAGATATTACTGCCCTTATGCATTGAAAGCAATTAAGATACTTGACTGAAAGTTATACCCTAAATGTGTTATCTGCCCCTTTGAATAATCAGTGAATATTTTTAATTTGAAATAATACATTTTCCATAGACAAAATTTACATATGTCATAGTTCAGTTCTCTCAGTCTTATAGTCCTAATAGACCTAAGCAGGAATGGGACCATCCTTCTAGTCCACCATTTTTGTTTGAAAACAGTAATACCTGCTTCAGCTGGAAAAGGTTAAATTTGCAATTATTTCAAGCTAGAACATATTGTAATAATACAAGTCATTTGTGTTCTTGGTATTTCATACAACATTAGTAGGCAGGTGAAACATTTTGCAGCCTCTTTCACTTCAGGTGGAGAATTAAGCATCCCAGAAAACCATTTCTAAACTTGCCTTGGGAAAAGTTAGGATCTAATCCTGCACTGTGAAAGTCTGCTCAGAAACAGTACATCTCACATTCTGCACAGCAATAGTTAAGCTGCATATATATATATACACACACACACATATCCCTGTACTACATTATATATCCCTGTATTACATTATATAAAAAGGTGCTATAATGGTGACTTCATTTAAACAATTATAATTAGATGCATTAACATTCAAGCCCTCATTAGAGAGGCATTCTTAACTAAGTTTAATTGCAATTTCACTTCATATTGGTCTAATCTAAAAGAATCATTCGGGCAATTTTTCATTCATGCAAAGGTGCTAAACACATCAATACCAAAAAGTTGGGCCTTCCTAATGTTGAATATCCTCTGGGGCAGTGCAATGAATATTGGACTTTCAAGTGTTTTTAGCATGACTTTGTGACTCTCCTCCCTCCCTCATGCCATTTATTTCATGGCCACTTAATACATACTCCCAAGTTAGAATTTATGGCATTCTAGACTGAGTTAAGAACTGTGGACTGTAATACTTTAGATTGAAGGTTTGTATGATGGCCATACTTTTGAATTATTCTGTATGTTAAAACACATGCATGTACTGATCATCCAAACCTTTTCCCCAGTGTGTTTGGTCTATTACACAATGGGGTGGGATGTTCAAAGTGTGACCCTCCTATCTCTGGAAATACAGTTCATAATTCTACATCTTAGTCTATGGTCTCATTCTGTGTGATGTTTAGAACTTGACAAAGTCATGGTAAAAAAATTAAGAGTATGAATCTCTGAGTCACAACATCCAAGACATTATTTTGTTCACTGGCAAATATCACACACATGCGCGCACACACAAAGATTTTGACTTGTATCACAATATTGCTTAGAAAAGAAACCCGAGCTACTGACTCTTCTGCTACAGGTTCAAGAAGTCATACAGTTCATGCTTTAGCATTTGAATGCTTAAGCCAAAATATCTGGATATGTGTGGTAGAAACAGTACCAACTGTATAACCACCACTGTGCTGGACATTAACCTCTATAGGAGTGCTGGTTTCAATGTGCAATGAGAGTCAGGTTTTTGAGGAACATCACAGTGGCAAAAAGCTTGGAAGAACCAACTTAAACATAAAGGAAGTCAGACATGCTGAGTTCCATTGGCTTAATTTAGGTAACAACAGCTGTACCGGCTGGGATGTTTACGTATCACGCGCACACAGGAAAGACAATACATGAAAACATTGTTATAAATAAAACAGTTTCAGGCTACAGTAAGCATTGACAAAAAGACGTCTGCTGAGGGAGCTACAGAATCAAATCACCACTATAAATCAAATGTCCTTCAGAAAGTTACTGAAGGCTAAGTGAAAATGGGGATTGTTTTTCTATAGCTGCCTTGTTCAACAAGTGCAACATTGGAGAAAGATGTTTCTGTTAAGAAAAGAAAAGCTTTTATTCATGAACTGAGTATTGTTCTTGAATACACATCCCTTCTGAAACCGATAGTGCAGATACAATGGAATTGTTTTCCTTATAGCAGAAGCTAAGTAAAGGCAAAAGGATAATTGCTGTTTGAAATTCAGAATTTGACACTAGGCAAAGTAACCTTAAAAAAAAAAAAAAACAGGGAAAAAGAGAGGCTGGTACCAGCCCAGCCCAGTCTTAGGCACACCCTTCTTCCCCCCACAAAAATAGCATAAGTTTTCATAGTTTAAAATCTAAGAATTCTTTGTAATACTCTTTGAAGTATATCACATATTGGAATGGAAGTGATGGTCTTTTAGATTCGAGGAAGTGTGGTGATGGTGTGTGTGTGTGTGTGGGGGGGGGGGAGAATGCTAAAAAACTTAAGGAAATGACAAAGTAGCAGTGCCTGAAGGGAAGAGCATATCATTTCAAAGTTTAAAAAAACTGGAAAAAAAGATAAATATGACCAGCAGCTCTCCTGGCAACTGGTTGCAAATTGTTTGTGCTTCAATGTCCAAAGCTCAACATCTCACTTCTGCCACTTCTCACACAGGGAATCAGTCCTGTCCACCCTGTCTTGGTAGTTCCATAAAATCCCACTGCAGTCTTCACATCAGGTATATTCGGAACATTGTTCAGTATTGTGCCACAGGAAAGGCCAGTGGCCAACACCAAAATTCAGCTTCTAAGTACTGGCACTTTGTTCGAATGTGGTTTTGGCTAGGACTGCTGTGTGAGGCGCCGGAAGTGAGGTAACACTTGGTTGTCAGGAAGGTAGAGGGCAAGTTCCAAAGCCACAAGTACAGTAAACTCGAATGCAATGAGATCTCGTCTGTTGAATCTGAATCTCTCTTCTAACTTCTACAAGGGCAGAAAAGGAAAACAGAAAAGGGAGTATTTCATCATAGATTACAACAGTGGTTAGAATGATCTGCAGACTTCTAAATGAATTAAAGAGCACCCGCATTCTGGCCAGTACAAAAGAACCCCCTTGAGACAAAAAAAAAGATGTTCTCCTAGATCAGTTCTCATGGCTCTAATAAAGCTCTGATCTTAAAGACTGCTCAACCAATCTGTACTAACAGGAATTTAATTCTAACTGGAAATTAGCAGCAAAGCAGTCCCATTTTGCATGGTGGCCATGGGGTGGGGTTTACAGCCTTGAATGTGCCTCCAAAATAAAACAGACCCCTGCATGTGGATGGTAGAAGGACTATGCTGTGCCCTTCTTGACAGAATGGATTTATGTGCAGAGACTTTTTTAAGAGGCGAGCACTGAAATACATAAGCTTCCATCTGCATTCTACTCCCTAACCCCAAATACAGTCCGATAGCTCAGTGAGAACCACACCAAGATGTTGCATGTCATTGTAGCAGGATATTCAACCTTTGCTTGCTCTCCTGCAGAACTTATATTCTAATAATTACTGCTGATGGGATTGTTCCAAGTAAGGGTGGGACCGATCACATTAGTAAAGCATGAGGAGAGACCTGTGTTGCTGTCTTCTGTGGAAGAGCCAAACAGCCTCTGTTTGGGCTGTGGTATTGACTGGCAGACAAGGATTCATTTAAAACACTTAGGACAAGATTGAGAGAAGGTGGAGGAGAATGATGTAAGCCACCTTGAATTCTTTTAAAAAAAGAAAGAGGTGGGATATAAAGCTAATACATCAATAAACATAGAATTAAATTGAAATAGTTCTTTGGAGCTGCAATTCCATGCACACTTATATGGAAGTAATTCCCACCAAACTTAGTAGAATTTGCTTCTATGTAAGTATGCATAGGATTGGCCTATATAACACCATTCCACCCAATATTTCTCAGATCAAAGGTGAAAAAGAAATCTATCTGCAGCTATTAGGAGAGTCGCCAATAGGAGCTTTAACAAAAAGATGTCCATGGGTCTGAACAAATAGATTTATTGAAGGACTCCTTTTGGACCAAGAAGCCCCAATCCCAGTGCTGTCATTTTTGAATTCCAGTTGAACATAGGATTTCTAGTGCACAATCAGCTAATAGCAAACAACTAGTTAGCTTTGCAGAACTGCAGGGACAGCACAATCCCCACGTCTCCCTTCATTATGGCCTGAGCAGCTTTTTAATTCAGCAGACTGTGCACAGGTATACTGGAAGCTACCTTATCTTGAGGTCCATTTATTGTTTTTATGAACTGTTTTAAGAGCTTTGGCCATTAGTTGGTATAGAAATTAACAAAAAGGAGCAGCTGCCACCACCCAGTATTATTAGCAGCAATCCAAGGTTTTAGGCAGGATGCCTGCTAGTCCTTTTGGGGACTCCTCTTCAGGCAAAGCCTGTGTTCTGCCACTGAACTACAGTCTTGCCCCCCTTCCCCTCTCCTGCGGATTTCACTACACTTCTCTTAGGATTATCTGCATAGAGCACTCTTGTTAAAATACTGAAAAACTATGTCTGGTCTGCAGCCTCAATGCTCAAGTTTGTGACAGATTTTCCTTCAAAATTCTATGCAAGTCTGTAAAAGTGTTCACACACAGGCTTCACGGAGGAGAAAGTTGTACAAAGGCCATTTTCAGACCTTTAGACTCTGCTGGAACTTAATTTGGCTGTACTTACATCAATAAGGTGTTTGACTTCATGTTTCCTGAGATCACTACTAATCTTGGCTGCGAGTAGCACACAAGCACCAGCACACAGTTTGCGGTTCTGTTTATTGAGTTTGCCTTGAAGAACAAGCTTCTCAAAGTAAACATAAGCCATGGATACCGTTACCGGCTCCAGGCTGCACTCGATACTCAGGTTCCGCATCTCTCTCTTTAAGCTGGAAGGGGAAGGGAGAAGACAACATCCTTTTCAAGAAGAGACAAAAGACTGCCACTGCTCAAGAGACAGGCACTTAAACCCCACCAGATTCTCATTGTTGTTGTTTTTTGGAGGGTGTTTGTCTGGCAGAAGCTCATTTCTAGCTGGCTGATATCAGTAGGCTTACAAAAAGACCACATTCCTGTTGATGAAAAGGAAGAGGAGGGAAGGCGCCTTCATGCACCTCTGTGGTGATGTGGAGCCACGTGTCTCAGGTAACCTCATGATGCGAGTTGAGTAGCTCATGGGATACAGAAATGGAGTGAGCCAATATTGATCTGAATGACTTCTCTGTCTTCAAGTATTTGCACATGGAAAAAAGAGAATGCCCTCATGATCCAGGGTAGGGGTGTGTGGGGGAGGATAGGTGTGGATTGCCATTGCACCGAGTGACTATTTGGGATGGCCAGCAGGACCGTGTTTGCTCTTGAAAGGATGGCTAATCTTTGAGAGCTTCAGTGAGGGGGAAAGAGCATGCATGGCATTATATGGGCATAGAGGGGGGCTGTGGATAAGGAGGAATCCCCAGGAGCTTACAGAAGGGTGGGAAGTGCAGGGAGGCGTCCTCTAACTGCCTTTCTGCTCTTTCACCCTTCCCCAACCTGAGGCTCTTCAAGAATTTCCAAATAGCATGGTCCATGCTGCTTCAGAATGCTAGCCATATTGGCTTAGGAATGCTGGAAGTTGCACTCCAGTAGATCTGGAAGTAGTAGGCTGACGAAGGGTGACGCCGATTCTGTCCAAACCTGTGCCTCGGTCGATCTAAAGTTGCGCCATCAAAGTGAAGGCTAGAATAAGTAGAATATCAACAGGCGGGACGTTTGAGGCAAGGGGAACATGGCCCATCGTGGCGTCATGCGGTTTAGCAAATCATTGGAGGGGATTGGCAAACTAAGCATGTGACACCCATTCTAGTCAGGTGGAGTTGGGGCGGGGGGGGGGGGGGGGGGCGCACTGCTGCACTGTTATATTAGCCTGGCCCAAATTTACCTAGTTCAGGCTCCGAGTGTTTGCTGTCAGCTAGCTATACTGAAAACCATGGGAATTGGAAGATGAGCCTTTGAGAAAAGTGACTGTTCCAGGCATAGGAAATATTGTGGCAGGTGCTAAAAACCTCAAGGACCTCCATAACTTAAGGATGAGCTCATGCAAAGCTACACATGTGGGGAGACAAGCCTGGAAGAGGAAAACCTGAAGAATTTGAAGCATGGTAAGAACAATGGAAGGCGGCAGAGTCACATGAGCAAGACTGCAGCATGCAAGAAGGAGAGGGGAATCTTAGCAGCTGAGTATGTGACAGCAATTGCAGAAAAATGGGTGAGAAACTAGGAAAAGACAGAAACTTTCCCTAGTGCTGTCTTCCATTAAAAACTGGAACTAGTCTGAGCACTGAAGGCTTAGTTCTCATCAAGGGCACCAACTTGCGCTGTGTTGCTTTACAGTGAAGATGGGACTACCATGTATTCCTCTGTACAAATCAATACCCCCTACAGCACAGCTAGCATGAAACAGAGAACGCATTAATTAAGCGACTGACTGGGTGATCGACTATAATCAATAGAATCAGTATCTCGCACTCTAGCCTCTTACATGGTGTGAGACATCAGATGGGGTATGAAGGAGCCCTGAGTTTATAAAAATGCCAAGGGAGCATTTTACCTGCACACTTACTTGGGAAGAAGTCCACTAAATCAGCTGGGACATACCCAAGTAAACATGTGTAAGACTAGGATGCAAGTCTAAACATATATTACGTATTTAATTTTTTTGCACACATTTAGGAAGAAAGAGGCCTGTACCATGGTGACTTGGAACTACAGTGATGCTCCCTCCTCTTTAACACCTTGTTCTTTTTTTTACCTTCTGATTTTGCTCAGCGTCAGCTTGATGTGAGGAAATTTGTCTTTAAATGTTTCATTCATATCTTTTTTAAGGTCTGAGGGTTTCACATACTCTATTACTGTGGTCTGAAATAAAAAGAAATAGGGATTATTTTCAGCAACGTTAAAAAAAAAAAGCAAAGTTGCTTCTAGAGAGAGAGAGAGAGAGAGAGAGAGAGAGAGAGAGAGAGAGAGAGAGAGAGAGAGAGAGAGAGAGAGATCAGATAACATTGAAACTAACTAGCAGGTAATCAGATGGAGTGGAGATGATGATGAGTGTAAATTGATGTCCTGCAACAGCAGGGGGTTGGACCTGATGGCCTCCATGGCCCCTTCCAGCTCTACTATTATATGATTCTATGATGGACCACTATGATCTCATGTCACATAGCTTCTTTTACTAGATATTACTGGAGATAAAACCTAAGAAGCTCTTGATAGCAGCCACAGATCTCTTATAATGTCTATCCTGGTGCAAGAATTATTTGAAAACGGAGCAAGCCATCGTGGTCACTCCAACAATACCTCTTATTCCATCTTCTCTTGGTTTTAAGCTTTTATATGCACAGCAGGTCTTGCAGATTTTGCCCTGTGTCCCATAAACTGTCATTTGCATTCAAGAACTAATCAGGGACTTTTTATCAACAATATACACTGATTCTTTGTGGACAGTGTCAAACAAAGGTTCTCAAACTACAATCAACAGGCTGCTGGTGCTCTACTCAATTCAGGCTGTCTGTGGAAAAGGTGGAGCAATCGAGAATATCTGCAGTTAGTCCTGTATGAGATTAATTTTTTAAGATGGAAGAAACTAAGTCTGTCATGACCAGGGCTGGCTAACAAGGTTCTGGGCCGGAGCTCATGATTTTCACAATATAGTACTGCCATAATATACTAAACTTCCCCGCTCCAAAAAATAAAAAATACCAGTTAAAGATACACTTGCTGAGCCTGACCTGAGGCCAGTGCTGCAAAACATATCTGTGAACCTTGTCTACCAATGAAGCATTGCTTCAAAATGATGATTATCAAAATATGAGTTATGTGTGTGATTTGATTTATAGCACAATTTTTTATTAAGTGGTCTGCCAAGCACTCCAGCAATCTTCAGTGACCCAGAGAAAAGGGGTTTGAGTACCAACTACACTTGGTTTATACAAACAGTATATTAACACGTACATCTCAATGGTAACAAGTGAGGGAAGCTCCATCATTATTATGTTCTATTGTATTTCAATGTATTTTATTGTGTTGTAAGCCACCCCGAGGCTTCGGCAAGGGGCGGCATAGAAATGTTATAATAATAATAATAATAATAATAATAATAATAATAATAATAATACGTTTGGTTAACATGAAGTTGACTGTCCTCTCTCATTTCCACAATATTTTCAAGGTCACACCCATAGATACACAATAGTTAGTATGTAAAGGTCATCCTACATCAGGTACACCCATCAAAATGAATGAGACTCAAGTTGGCTATGATATCTTAAGTCCTGTCCTGTCTATTTCAGCAGGTCTTCTCTAATAGGACTAATCACAGAAACTCCAACTCCTGTGACTGGACTGACTGTGACAGTGCCAGCCTCAAGGCTGTGAGTACTGATTAGAGGGGATGATGAAGAATTGTTGCCCAGAATGCTTTGCTCAACAGCTGATGGGAAGCTGCAGAGAAGACTGGCGAAGGTCTTATCTTCCACAGCATGATGCCCTTGCTTGAACTCCTGTTCAGTTCTCTGCACACGTTATGGGCTGTATCCAATGTTACTGTAACTTCAGCCCCACTCATTTCAATGGATATACTCATAAGTAGGATTAACATTGGATGCATTCCAACAGTTCTTGCTTTATCAGCCCCCCACACAATTGAATTCAGGGTCTCCTTTGACTTTTCCATTCTCAAAACACATCTGGCTCCATCAGAGCTTACAGAGCAGACCCTTTTCAACAAGAATTTTTTATTGCATAGTGGCAACCCATGAACCTGGGTTTTAGTGATTAGTGTCAGAAGCAACTTCACGGCAGGATGGCCTTAGCTGGTATCATGTTATATTAAGTTTCTGCTATTAACCATCATTGCCCTTGTACAGGATTACACTCAATTCCTCCTGTATCTAGGCCATCACTGTAGAGATGAGAAAAGTCTAATCTCTTTGAGGACAGAAGGTTTCAAAGCGTTTTGGTAATCTCTTAATCCTGTAATACTTGGGACCTCCAAGTACAGTGCAGGACTGTTGAGCTTCAAAAAGTTCTCTCTCTCTCCCTCCCTTTGTTTTGCAGTATTGGCAGGACAATGTGTGGCGCTGGAGGCTAATGCATCTGGAAGGCACCAGGTTGAAGGAAGGCTGCCCTAGGGCACCCCAGCCAATACCCCAAGGTATTCTGTGTCTAGAAGGTCTAATGCGAGAGGAAAGCAGGAGGTGAAGAGAGGTGGCAACTCCGTCTTCCCGTAGTCTTTGGATGCAATGAAATAAATTCTCCCTTGGTGCCAGTGTAACAGCTTGATTGATATGTAGAACTTAAGTCTTGAGTTCGTTAGGAATTCCTTGCTTTTGATCGTTAATAGCATGGACCCACCAGATGCCAGGGTGAGCTTGAAAGTGTTCAGAGCAGTTCATAGGTACTCCGTCTGAAAGGTAGATAATTCCCAATACTGCAGATGATGGTCAGAGCTGAGAGATGGTGGCTTGGCTTGCCCATGACTGAGGATGAGATTGGAACTGGAGGCTTCCCTGGTTCAGAACTCAGTCTCAGGCATGACGCTACTCTCCAACAGCCAATAAACAGCATATTGCTTCTGCCTGGGAATGCTTAGGCTGTATGCAGAGCTACAGGGCCCAAGAGATGAGTGTGCCCTGGACTCACACTTGCCACTGTTTGGACTGGAAGGCCAGCTTCCAAACTTGAATGCGACTCTGGTCCTACTTCCAGGAAAAAGCTGCCAATGTCACAACATGCTCTGCACAGCTGAAGTCACCTCTCACGCCCCTCCCTACTTGTGTGTGTGAAGGGTGCTGACTGGTTGATCCTCGTGACAGTCAGTTGCATACCACCAATCCAGGGCAGGGTTTGAAGTCTGCCACAACAAATGGATTTGCTTTAAAAATGGTGCTGGATACAGAGCTAATCAGAAGTGATAAGTTTCCAGGCATTGGTGGTGGGATAAACTCAGCCAATCTTCTTCACAAAGAGTAGTCAAGGGACAACAGTCCACCCTGGATTCTACCAGGGAGGCAGATGAGCAATGCTCATACAGCAGAAGAAAACCCAAAACTCCACTGAAATATGCCTGTACACAGCTTCAGCTGTTATGGATACTAGGCACAGGTGGACCTATGCTCTGTAAGTTTGTCGAATTCTTTTAAAAGCTCTCCAGTTGAACTGTCGTCATCACATCTACAATTAAATCTGTAGGTTAGTTGTGCACTGCACAAAACCTCACCTGAGGGCCAAAGCAGGTCTCTTTTGTTAAAAGCAGTCATTACCTCCCCCATGCTATTGATAGCTGGGAGTGGGGGGAATATAGATGCAATACTAGAGGTAGCTAATAACAGCTTTGCAGTGGGTGGTGGGATTTAAGTACTGCAGCCTCAATCCAAATAATAAAAAGCGAATATTGGAGAGATCTGCCCCCAGCTCTCTGTTATATCAAGTTTGGCATTTAGCTGTAAACTCTCTCTCACACACTCTGGGGGCCCTGAACTATGAAACTGGAACCCTTCTCATAGTTGTTCTTAAGGAGGGAAGATAATAACTAGAAGCTAATCTGCACTTGTAAAAGTGGTGGGCAGTACGCATAAGCCGACTGTGGCCACTGTGGTCATTTTAGTAACTTTGAATCTGCTGCAGCGGCCAAAACAAAACAAAACCCACTACCCCCCCCCCATGCTTTTCTATTAAAAGCAAATGAAAAACAAGGAGCGTGTGTGTTATTAGGAAACACCTTCTTTTAAAGGAAAATTGACATGTTGCTGCTGGAAGGGTTGCAATACGTCATTTGCTACGCAGTTCCACAAGATCCATGTCTTACCATGTACGATGCGAAGATGAGGACGCGCTTGTGCTTCCCGCAGGGCCATTGAGGGTCGTCAAGGAGATTTGGATTGTACTCCACCAGCTCACCGACTTCATTCCCTGGACATAATAATAAAAAGCTGCTTATGCCCTAGGAGTTCACTGCTGTGCTGAAGGAGAGTTTTAAGAAAAAGCAACACAGAAACCCCTTTTCTGGATTTCTGAAACCCCTTCAGCAGAGGAGTACGTTTCACATGCCAAACATTTTAAGTGCCGTTCTTGCTCTCTCCAGGTGCAGCTGATACAGTCTTCAGTATGAAACCCTGGAGAGCTACTGCTAATCAGAGCAGGACCGGGCAACCTGTGACCCTGCAGATGCTCTGGCCTACAACTCCCACGGTCCTCACCTTTCGCAGTGCAGGCTAGGGCTGATGGGAATTGTAGGCCAAAACATCTGCAAGGCTAGACGTTGGTCACCCTGTGTTAGATTAATGGCCTGGTTTGGGGTAAACAGCTCCCTATGGCTCTACAAATGGGGGCAGCACAGCTGTGAGGAAAACAGCCTCTTTGAACTTTTGAGGTGGATATTCTCCACAAGGGACACCACACAATATTTACTTGGCTTCAAACACTGCCATTAAAGGCAGAAAGCACTACAAGAATTGCGTGTCTGCCTATCCAAATTCACATGACCTGCACATTCCTTTTATTTTTCCCTCTATGGCTTTCCTTCCTTGCTGGAATTCAGGCTGTTAGCTCTCCATGCCAAGGACCAATTTGTTGCATGGCATGTTTCTCTTAAGATATCAGGGATACTGAGAGCTCTGTATGAATGCAGAAGAAGAAAATTGCCTTTCATTAAATAATTCAGAGCAGTTTATACATATTCCTTCTAATACCAGTTCAAGTGGTTATATGTTTACATTTAGATAGCCAAAATCAGAGGACACTGAGTTTTGTGGATGCTCAAAGCAGGACATGTTGGGCTCGATCACAGGCACAGGAGCTCAGGCCTGATGGCCAAATCCTGCCCCTTGAGAGCCTGAGCTGGCCCTCCTTTCCAAAAGGTTGAATTGACTCTCCTAAAGCTCAGTTGTAGGCAGGAGGAGCTTTGAGCTAAAAATGCTAGCGTTTTTTGGTAGTTTGACCGCAACACCCGCTTTTTGCTTTCAGCTCATCCACCAGTGGAATTCTGAAAACGAACGTGCCTTTTTGGGCTGAAAGAAGATCAACACCCCTTCTATACAGTATTGCTGCCATGGCATTCTGGGGCCTCTCCCAACACTGGCTGCAATGCAAGAGGTGACTATATTGCACCGAGTTGGTGGTAGTATTCCATTCTGAATGCTTTTGAGAGGGTGAGGCTCTAACATGCTGGCTGGTTTTGTTTTCTTGCCCCCTCCTTTTGCCTTTTGCCCTCCTCCCCACCACTGAAATGAAGTCTCAGAGAGTTTCTCTTGGCTCTCAGGCTGAAAATGGTTCCCCATGCTTGAGCTATAAGGACCAATCACCAGCTATTATTCTGAAGGTCAAGCTGGTTTCTTTATGGCTTCTGTGTTATGAAGAACAGATTTTTGAAGTAAGATGATCCAATGCCCAAAACCAAAACATCCTTGTATGGCAAAATCTGCTGATCCAGGAAAAAAGGAGACTGGTTTTGTAACGAAAGTCTGAAGCCAGCAGGCCTGTTCTGTACACTGGTATTCCATTTATCATCCTATCTTATAGCAAACTCCTCCTTCAAATGTAGATCCTAAAGTTGCCCATGTACCACAGCGTGGTATCCACAGACTCAGGAAAACGTCAAGAAGTACAAAAGAGTGTTAGGAAAACGATGCAGGTTTTCATTCTGCCCACCGAACTGCACAATGAGGACCGAGCATGTTCAAATGGGCATGGAATACTGAGCGACTGCTCTGAGGAGAAAACAAAACAAAGCGAGGTAGCATGGAACGAAGTATCAAGAAGAGGCTATGGCCAGCTGGCACTTGAACAGGAGCAATCCATTCTGCTCCATGTTGCTGCAGGTTTCATTTGTTTTTACGTGGGGCAGTTCAGTTCAAAAAGTGTGTTGAGCAATGGTTGCAAAACCTGAAATTTGGCCAGAGAGGATATTTACTGAACACTGGCATTAACCATCTCAACGTTATCACTGTAACATGGTTGGTACTTTTCCCAGATTCTTAGAAAACGTTATTTGGATTTTTGCTCTTTAAGGCGTTGTTCTGTTTTCAGAAAACGTCCTGCCAGTATTCATTGCCTTATCACGATTATGAGGCCCCAGGAAAGATTTTTTCTATATTTAGTCAGTCCTGCTGTTTCAATGCACAATGGCTGCATTGAAGAACTAGACAGGGTGGAATCTCCCACTCAGCTACCAGGAGATTGATTACATTGGTAGAGTTTAAGCCAGTACTGTTCATATTATGCATGCCTACAATTTTATTGTTGAAGTATGGAAGTTGGGAAGAATGCTGCCTTCTGAGACACTCTCTTCTTAATTAAAGAGCCGCTTATTTCCTCTACTTATGGATGGGTCAAAAAAGGCATGTTGCCCTGGAATCTCTTAGGAACTGAAGGTGTGGAATTTAATCATTAAATGCATAATACAAATGATTAAAGTGTGTCTAGTTCTTGGCAGAAGACTCAGCGGGTAGGAACAAAGAGGGTAGGCAAAAGGGACATGGGTGCTGCTCCAATACACTGCAATGCCCTTATCGCTCTACTGTGACTACTATCCCAGGCAATATGCAGCAGCTGGACTCATGCCCAGGGACTGTTTTCCAGGGAATGCAACTCCTATATTGTTCAAACTGCATCAGCTGACAGTTTGTTTCTAAGCACAGTTCAAAGGGCTGGTTAATACCTATAAATCCCTAAATAGTTTGAGAGCAGGATAATTCTCTTCTTGCACATAAGTCTTCTCACCCAGCACAGAATTCCCTCACCAGAGACCCACTACCTGGGACACAGGAAAGGGTCTTCTCAGTGTCTGTAACCCAGGTTGTGGTACTTCCTACCTGGAAGGCCTGATTCCACCCCCCCGTCCCACCCTTTTCATTGGTGTGCTGGCAAAGCCTTTCAGCTCTGTTGGGTTTTTGGCTTGGTTCAGTGTTCCTGCCTCTCTTCTGTGTGGTTAATATCCAACTTCTTTGTTTCATTTTATTTAGCATTTAGTGCAACCTCTCCTAACAAGATGTTCTGGACTACAAAAACTTGTATCTTGTTGGAACTTCTTTTGTTCTGCATAACTGAAGCCCTTCACTTCCTGCTCAGGAAGGTTCCAGTGGCTTTAATTGTAGGAAAGAAGGCAGAACTGAAACTGATGCAGTTTTTTGCATTAGTGTATCTCCAATGTGCAGCACCATGTTCAGAACCTGAGGGCCCGAAAGGCGGACTGTGAGGATTAAAATATATATCTTTCCAGTTTTCCTATCTTCCTGTGCTTTTGTCCTCACATCTCTGGCCAACATCCTCAGTTCCAAAAGCAGACCTCTATGATGCTGAAGAAATGGCACAGAGTACATATTTAGAGATGCATTTTATTTGAATACAGATGTGTTTCTTTGCAAGTCATTATGGCCTATTGGTTAAGAGTGCTAGACTGAGACTTGGGAGATTCAGATTCTAGTTCCCATTCAACCATAAAACTAACTGGGTGACCTTGGGCCAGTCACAGACCTCAGCCGAACATTGTTCTGATGATAAAATAGAGAGGAGAAAGATCATGTAAGCTGCCTTAGGGAAATTGGTGTGCAAGGAAAATAGGTGGGATATAAATGTAGTGTAATGTAGGAGTAATAGGAATTATTAATAATATATTGTATCAGATGTAGTTCCTTTTAGTCAAAAAGTAATGACTGGGAGCAAAACTGCCGCCTTTCTTTCCTTGCAGTTACATACAATCAGCTTAAACCTTGTTAGAAGCAGTCAGAGGCATTCTAAGAAGATGCAAAATGCACCACACACAGAGAGATTTTAGATGTGTAGGATTAAACTGTAATTCCTAACCGCAGGAACGTGATGTTTTGCTTGTTATTCTTTAACATATTATGTACATCGCATTACATTACCTTATTATTATTAATGCAAATGCTACTAATGATAATCAAAAGGCAAACCCTGAACCCTTGAACAATTTAGACTACCTCATTTACTTTCCAAATGGAACTTAAATTCCTGTTCTTATTCTAGTTTGCTTCAGCAAAAACTGCAGCTGCTGATATTCTAGTGGTTTCAGTTGCTGAAATATCATCCTAACAATATTTCCTTTCAGCCATTTAAAAATAATTTTAACACAGAAGGTCAACATGAAGGTGAAATGCAGTTCGATGGCACTTACCCATGTCTGTGGTGGAAGGTATCGTTTTGGCTGCTGCAGGTTTATACCTTGACCCACCAGCGCTCCTTGGGACGGTGGCTCGACAAACAGGAACTGCACCATGGGCATCATTTTTGCGGCCAACGAGGGCATTGGTTGGATACAAGAACTTTGCATAAGACACAACCTGTAAGACAACCGTTGACATTAGCAAGAGTTGCCACCCTATCACCTTTCCATGGGTTTGCTAAGCTCTAGCCTCTTTGTTCAAACAAACCGTTTCTTGTAACTGGAAGTCACGGGTAACAGTTCTGAAGTACAAAGCATTCAGTGCTGTCACTGCTGCTGCTCATTACATCAAACGTATTTATTTTTGGATTTCCATCCCACCGCAATAGCCAACAAAGCTCCCTGAGAGGGTTAGGAAAACCTGTTTGTAAAAACCAGCACTAGTGTGATGTCCTTAGGACTTGTTAAAGAAGGGGAAAAGTGACAATCTGCTGCAGGATTTCAGCTGGACAGCTTGCCATCCCAATTCTGCAGCAAATTCACTAGCAAGCACTAATGCTACTGTGCTAGCACTGGCTTACTGCCTCCTGTTTTTATGATTCGGTTAAATCAAATGAATTGCAAGGAACTGAATTTGCTGCCAAGTAGCATGTGTTTCTAGTAAACACGTTTTTAAAAAAATGGGGAAAAGGGAGAACAAAGACGGATTGTACCTTGGACACAAGATACCTGGATAAATGGGTATCTAACAAATGTAGTCTAGCAGCTAATGAAACAGACACACCACCTTGGACAAAGCCTGGAGCAAGAAACAGTTTGGTGGTTTCAGCACAGCCAGTGAAGGAGGCTAGCAGGCAAGGAAGCGTTTCTGTGACTTAAACTGCATGCAGCCTGCTTTGAAGGAAGCTGATGTTGCTTTAAAATGAGGATGCAGAACCTCTTTCAGCCTCAGGCCAAATTCCATTTTGGAGAAGTTTCTGGGACCACGTTCCAGTGGTGCACACAGCTGAAGCAAAAGGAAGAAGGACCAAAAGAACAAGATACTAGCAAATTTTAGGTTAAAGCCCTTCATGCATTCCAGCTTTTTACAAATGGGAGAAAAATGGCAATAAAGTAAGGTAGGCATCAAAGGATCTGTGGGAGGGAGGAAAGGGGAAATGGACCTTTGGACTGCGAGCCCAGAAGGGCTGGATTTGGCCTCTGCCCTGAAATTCTGTACTGCCCCTCTGTTGCTCAAGCTCCTCATAAGAAAATCAGTCCTGCAAGATTTTCCATCACTTCGAGTTGAAGTCTGCAAAGCAATCTTAACCTCACCAAGTATGATAGACTGAACTCAGACTAGAAGAGCAAACAGAAGTGAAGTATGACAAGATACACCATGAGCTACGAAGAGCACACAGGGCATTGCTTGTGATTGGTTCCGAAACTGAACAGGCCCCCAATGTGCAACGAAGAACCCAGAACTGCAGTTCAACAATGAATGCCTTACCTTGCCATCTGCTCCCAGCTCGACCCCTTCCATCCCTAGCACCATCTCAGAAGAGACTGAAATTCCTCCAGAAGGATGTCTTTGTTTCTGCCCCTCTATTCTCAGTTCACTGTGAAGGGCAGAATTGCCAAGAAAGCAATTAAGGCTGTTTCTTCTCATCCTAGCCTAAACCATCAGTCATAAAAAATACCCCCCCACACACACTGAGAGATTTAGAAGGATAATTCCCACGTCTTCTCTGCTCCCACTTTAAACGCATTTGTTTTTAAAAGGCCTGAGAAATAAAAGGAGCTCAGTGAACCAGGCAAGTGAACGTAAGCAGCGTTCTTCCTATTTTTAAAATAAGGCAACTTGTGGATCATTCATACATTTGCATGCTCAGACAGGGCTCAACTTTGAGCAATTCCCACAATGAGAAACAACTTTTAAGTTCACTGTTTGTGTATGATGCAACCTTTGAACTGTAATTTAGGGGTATGTGGGATTCTTAAGGGAAAGACAGCAAGCTGTAGCACTGGAGAATACAGGGATGCAGTTCCAGCTATGGGAAACCATTTGCAAGAAACATCTGTGAACTCTGTCCTTGGGCTCTTTAAAAACAAGCAAACATCTGGACAAAAGTAAAGTTTTCTTGTGCTTGTTAATCCTTATAGATTTGTTGGAACTTTGTGGGCTAAAGAGGTTAAATGAGTACATGCACACCAGTTTTAGAGTTAAGGTTTAAATTCAATGGTATTGTTTCACTAGCAGAAGGGAAACCGCTGGTGGAACGGATCCTCCCACCAGGCATGCTCCACAGAACTGCCCTGGGGGGTCAGGGAAACCTCTGGAGCGAATGTGGGGGATTTGTGAGGCCTGCAGCGGGAAAGACAGGGATGCCCCACTGTACAACACTGGCTCTAAGCCTAAACCGCCACACCAAATGATATGGATTTCCATCCAAGGCTGTGAGCCCCAAATTTGAAAAAATACCAAAACAATATCACTCCTACCTTAATACACTCAGACTTTGGCTGTGTCCAAGTTACACAAGGCAGACATAACTATGGAAGGGCAAACAGGCAATGCTCAACAGTGCTAGGACTCTCCAAGCATCCTCACTGCTTGCCTCCCACTCATTCCCTTGAGAGTGGCTCACTTTGTGCAAATTAAGCAGTGATACAATGGGAAAGTTGCACCAATTTGTGCAAATTTATTCCATGGGTTAATGTGGGGCTGATTCAGTGTACTGAGGAACTATATGTGAATCAGACTGCACATCAGAAATGAGAAGAGCGCGAGCACATGTTCGATCATTGCCGAATATTTATTTATTTATTTATTTATTTATTTATTTATCAAAACATTTTTATGCCGCCCCATTCGCCGAAGCCTCGGGGTGGCATACAACAATAAATTAAAATAATTATAATCTTAAATTAAAAAATATAAGCATTAGATTAAAAATACAAAAATACAATATAAAATAAGCCGCCTTGGCCAGATAAAATCCAATAATATTAACAGTTAAAATGCCGCTTAATATTTTTGGTTGACACGCGCTCTGTTCACATCTTCAGACAGGGTATGATCAATTGTTTTATGAGCAGCAATGGAAGTCACATACATACCTCACTAGACATGACATATGCAGAAAGATGCACTCGCCTGCACACACGTGTTCATCAGCAGTTGATTTGAGTGCATACTTATTAAAGTCATTTGGGATTTCTAGCAGAGATCAGTACACTTATCAAAACTCTGCACAACCTCTTACCCTCCAAATATGTCCCCTCAGCACACACAATAATTCATTTCATTTGCAGAAAAGTCAAGCTCTTTTGAGTGACCTTGGAGTTTTCCAGAATGCTAAAAAGAAGTTTCCCATCATCTATTTATAGCAGGAACATCTGTATATGGGGTTTCCGGAATGAAAATATCCATTGCCTTCCTCAGTGTTCTATGCACAGGAATGTGAATGATGAGACTTTTTCTTCTGCATTTGATCAAGGTTAACTGAGCCTTGCACACATGCAGAAAAGATCTGGAAGCTGTTTGCTAGTAGGAGACAGATTTCTGCTTAGCCCACCTCCTTTTGTTTATTAAAAACTAGTGTAACCAAATTTGTAATACTTAACACTGTTTCTACTCAGTACAGTTTCAAACCGTGCGCCCACCCCAATCTAGCTCTAGCTGCACATCAGAAGCGCAAAGGGGAATGTGCATCCTCTATCAACAAATGGCTCTCTACAGTTGGATGAACACGGCATCCTCCAATACACAGATGTTTCTCCAAATGACTGTAATTCTGTACAGAGAAATTCTTTGCTCATCTGGGCAAACACAGGAAGGTTATACTGGTATGTGCAGCTTCCTGTATGTTTAAAATGCAGGGGCTCCACTGTTCTTGAAATCAAGTTTTCTGGTATCACTTTATTATCCTCATCCGAAAAGATGAGAATAATAAAGTAGATGTAAAAGAGCTTTCTCCTTCATGGATCACTGCCTTGTCGTGGCGAAGGGGCTTGCGTAGCTCAATGAAGCTATGAGCTATGCCGTGCAGGGTCACCCAAGACGGACAGGTCATAGCAGAGAGCTCTGACAAAATGTGATCCACTGGAGAAGAAAATGGCAACCCACTCCAGTATCTTTGCCATGAAAACCCCATGGACAGTACCAAAAGGCAAAAAGATATGACATCGGAAGATGAGCCCCTCAGGTCAGAAGGTGTCCAATATGCTACTGGGGAAGAGCGGAGGGCTAGTACTAGTAGCACCAGAAAGAATGAAGCGACTGGGTCAAAGCCGAAAGGACACTCAGTTGCCGATGTATCTGGCGGTGAAAGGAGAGTCTGATGCTGCTAATATCTATACTCCATAGGAACCTGGAATGTAAGATCCATGAATCAAGGCAAGCTGGATGTGGTCAAACAAGAGATGACAAGACTGAACATCGACATCTTAGGAATCAGTGAACTAAAATGGACAGGAATGGGTGAATTTAATTCAGATGACCATCAGGTATACTAATGCGGGCAAGAATCCCTCAGAAGAAATGGAGTAGCCTTCATAGTCAGTAAAAGAGTAGGAAAAGCAGTACTGGGATAAAATCTGCAAAATGACACAATGATCTCAGTTCAAATCCAAGGCAAACCATTCAACAACACAATAGTCCAAGTCTATGCCCCAGCCACTGGTGCTGAAGAGGCTGAAGTTGACCTGTTCTATGAAGGCCTACAGCACCTTCTAGAATTAACTCCAAAAAATGATGTCCTTATCATCATGGGGGATTGGAATGCTAAAGTAGGAAGCCAAAAGATAACCGGAATAACAGGCAAGTTTGGCCTTGGAGTACAAAATGAAGCAGGGCACAGGCTGGTAGAATTTTGTCAAAAGAATGGTCATAGCAAACACTCTTTTCCAACAACCCAAGAGATGACTCTACACATGG